ATGGGGCAATGTATCGCAAGGGACATGGCAATGGCCAACGCGCGCTTCCCAATGCCATCTGGGCAACTAGTTGCCCGCGGAGACCAAACGGGCGCAAGCTCTGGAAGCCGTCGCGCAGTACAGCATCAGCCAGATTGACCACGTATTTTGCCACGACGCAGTGCTACAGTGGATTCGTGGTTGCAGGACCGACAGGACAGCTGTTTTCAACGGCCATCATTTCTTGACGCAAGTAGCCGTGCGCTCCCGAATTGACAAGACAGCTGCGACGTCACAGGTTCGCGTTGGTGCATTGTCGGCGCGGGTCCGATGCTTGAAGAAGGAGTTCGCGCGGAGTTTCTGCAGCCCTGGTGAGGCATCGCGAGCGACAGAGGGGGCGTTCGCCGACTTAGCCACGAATATTGAGCATGCATTTGCTACGGCATCGAATGCGCGACCAACCATGCTAGTTTAAGTGATGAAACGTTGGGTATCTTCGGTGCAGGGGCTTATGGAACAAAGCAGCCCCATGTCGGCGCAGCGGGGATCACCACCGTGAGCGTGTTCTGAACACTTGGGTCCACACGGCAGTTCAAAAAGATCGCACGGCCAACGAGAATTTGATAGGTGGAAGCTGGGAGGTCGCGAGAAGTCTCCGGAGGAAGGCGCCAGCTAGACGCGCTGGAGTGCGAGACTTGAACGACAACCTCACCCGCGCCGCTGGATGCCCAGACGCCCTTGCCGACTATTCTGAGACAGGTCAGTGGGGCGCCAAGTTCGCAGATGCTCCCCCTGCTTTTCAGACGCCCGCGCTGAATAAGCTGGTGGTCCTGGTGACACCCTTCTAATTTCTTGGGAAGTTCTTTCTCAAGCAACGATGCTCGCGCTGTTCTCCCCGACGCGCGGCAAACGCAGGGGCGGGGGGGGGGGGCAGAGACGTGCCGGACTGATTGAGAAATCCGACTGGTCGATAAAGGAATCGTCGCGTGCCAAGCAACTATCGCCCAATCTCTCTCCTGGCAGTCGGGTACTGAGCGCCGGCTGCAACGATCCATCGCAGGAAATTGCGAGGGGGGCGGAGTCCGAATGCGCAGTGCACCGTCTGGGCCCCGACGTTGGCGAGACACGAAAGACGCCCTCGTGGTGATCTGGCGGGCGGTGGACGCAGCTTCCTTCCACGAAAGAGGCGGCGCACTAATGGCGCTGATCGATTTGGCCAAAGCTTTGGACAGGCTGAAGCAGCAATGCTGGCGTGGAGCATTGGTTCGCTTCGGGGTCCCGCCCCCCATGGCCCAGGCGACCAAAGAAATTTACGCGGGGCGCTTCATCACCATTGTTGACCATTGTGGATTTCCCGTGGAAGAACGACAAGTTGCTAGTATAGCGCAGGTTTCTTTGCATCTCCATACATGTCTATTGCTGTTCAAACTGCCAGGCTGTACGATGTCTAGCACAGGCTACACCTACAACGCGAACCAGTATATGTGGTAACGCGAAACGCATTGTGCGCAGATGGCACAGCTCTGATTCCAAATCACACAGGTAGCATCCAAGCGTTGTTGAGGGCTAAAGTTCCGGAGGGACAATTATACGGGATGGAGTTAGACAGGGGTAACACGGTACACAGTCAAATATCGACCAGCAGCTCCGTAATGCGACCAAACAGAGAAACCAGCAAAATCGCCAGACGAACGATCCACCTTGGATTATTGATTACCAATGATGGCCGTGTGGGACGATAGCTTAATCGATGATTGGGTGAAGGCACCGCTCTATTTCGAGAGTTGCGCAAAGTTCGGAACCATTCTTTTAATGGGCCACAACAGAAAGAACTCGTAGACATAATTAGGCTGCGTGATTCGCAACCACTTATATTCACTAGAGCCTGTATGGTTGCCCCCCTCCGAAAATCAAAAAAAAAACATCGGCGGTTGGGCGTTTTTCATGGCAAGTGCTTGCGCCAAATATTGAGCACCCCGCGTTCTTATTACTCGAGGGTGTCGAGCGCTGCTGCTTTCGAGCGCGCCGGTTCCGTCCCCGTGTTTGACGTGGTGCGAGACCGATAGGTGCAGGCTTTCCAGAAGATCGCATCCCGGGGCGAGCTTGCTGGTTAGATATGTCGGGCGCGACGAAAGCGAGAACTCCGAACGCTGGGCCGAACACACATTGAGAGGCAGACCCGGACAACGATAGGCCCAGCGTGTATCGTAGTAGCAGGTGGAGCCGTAGTGTTTGTGACGCTGTCGTGGCACTCGTCTATCCTCTTTCCCTGGTAAGCAAAATGGCACATCCATGATTGCATTTTTTAGCAGCGCGTTTGACGTACCGTGTCCGGCATATTGATTGTGCATTTCTTTTTTTCGTCCTCTTCGTCGCCCTCGCATCCCTCCCTCCCTCCCCCTCGCCTCCCTTCCCGATGCGTCGCGCCACATACACGCGATTCCTGCTTCCCCTGCGGTGGCCGAAGCGAATGTCGTGCCAACGCGCCCTGCTGGACGCATGCCTTAAGTGAGTGAGTGAAGGGGCTGCTTTCGGGTTGCGGGACCGTTAAGAACGGATCTTGCGTGACAAACGAAGTACACCACATGGACCTCGGGAGCGGCCCAGGGCCCAGGGGCTTGTTTGAAAAGATTTGGTTTCGCACCCCCCCCCCACCACCACCCCTCATGATCGATTTTCTGGGGTTCCATCCAGCTCAGATCCCCCAGCCGTCCCTCAGGAGGAGGAGGGACGGAAAGAAGGAAGGAAGTTTGGAATGAAGCAAGGAAGTAAGGAATTCAAGAAGGACGTGAGAAAGGAGGAGGAGGAGGAGGAGGTTGAGGAGGAATGTTTTGCATGGTGCAGGCCCATTCTCCGCCCCGCTGCGGCAGCCGCGAGCCACCGCGGCGGTACAGGTCAAGCGCAGGAAACAATGAGAGGGCCGGCCTCGCATCCACAGCAGTCCACGGCGTCAGGACGGTGGCCTTCGCAGATGCCGCGAGCTGCTGCACGAGGCCCACCACGCTTCGGCGCCATTTGCTAACCACGCCCTGGCCTTCAAACTTCAATGTCCCGCCCTTCTCCCGAGCCTCCCGCACAGTAGGGCGGAGCGACGCCCTATCCGCTCGCAGGGCCTAGCCTAGCGTGTCGCCGGGGCCGCCGCCGCGACACGCTAGGCAACAACTCCCGACCGTAGACCAGATTTCTCGGAGAGGAACTCGGCGATGGTGGAGATCTGCCCAGACGACAACACCAACCACTTCGCCTTCCCCGTCCGTGTCGGACAGCTCGAAGTCCACGTGCTTTCCCAGCCCGAAAACTGTGATCGTCCTGTCCTCCACCTGGAGGGCTGACGGGCAGCCGTCAATAATCCCCTGAGTTCGCACGCGCGGTTGAGCTGGGGCTGCTTGTGGCTGGGTTGTTATCCTTGTCGTACTTCTCCAGCTCGGCCAGCGCGGTCTCCGTCTCGCGCGCTGCGCTCGTAAGCTTCTGCTCCAACGCACGAGCTGCCAGAGGAAGGTTCTCCAGCTTCTGTGCCAAGCGCTGGGCCCTCCTTGTGGGCTGTGCCCGCGCGCTGAGAGGTGGTGTCGGGGCTGTTGCGTGACCGTCCAGAGCGCCCAACGCGCCGAACTGCTGCTGCACTGTCTGCTGCATAACGGGGTTTCCGACCGTTCCACGCAACCAATCATAGCCAAGTCAATTGGTCGCCCACAGGTGCCTTCCCATCCACCCGGCGTGCCACGCTGGAGCCCGCATAAGCCGCGGCGTATGATTTGTATGCTTGTCGCGCACGGCCATCAGTTTCGCCGCTCAAAGACTGCCCTACTGTCGAGGCGCGGGCCCGGTGTGATCTTGATGCCGCTCCTGGTGCTGTTCGGCACATCCCTTCCTGATCTGCACTGGACTGGTCAGGCCCTCGTCGTATAGCGCGAGGGGGTGCTAAGCGAGTGCAACGTTTTGGGAAATAGGGAATCGCCCTCCATCTGCGACAGCGTGTCTGGAAGTCTGAAACGAAAGCCTTGGATGAGAAAGCCTCGAGAGCGCACTTTTGCAACTGAGCTTTTTTCCCAACCTTGCTAGCATGCGCCACAGTCAGGCTGTATCCACATTATTGTTGAATAGGAATCACCCGCTTTCTTTGCAATCGTTGGAAGATTTCACAGCGAATGCGCGCAACGCTAAGGCGACAACCGCATTTCGAAGACGGCCCGCCCTACATGTATGAAGCTGCGTGGAGATGTTAAGGCGACTGCGTGAGGCGCTAAGGCCAAACGAGTTGCCCTCCATCCGTGTAAACGCGGTGATGCCTATCTAAGTCAAGCGTGCGCGGCTCCAAGGCGAGAGCAGTATTGGAACAGCGAATCGCGATCTATCCGTGTAGCTGCTGGATGTTTCAAGTTTCGCGGCCATAGTTGTCTCTGGCGAGTCAGGAGTTGTGTGCAGGGAGGCGGGGCTGGATGAAAAGGAGGAGGTGTGGGATGGAGGGAGGCAGCACGAACCGAATGATGAGCGAGAGGAGGGAAGTCACACGAGAGGAGGGAGAAGGGGGGTGGGGTCGGAGGACGGAGGATGGACGCGTGAGAAGGAAGGAGAAGGAATGAGGGCGCAGGAGGCAGCAGAGAGCAGGAGCTGGGAGTCTGGAAGGGGATCGGGGGGGGTACCGCGGCGGCGCCGGGGGGGGGGGAAGCGCGAGCAGCGGCCGCGGCTGAGGCGACGATGCGCGCCGCGATCGTCCTCGTCCTCCTCGTCTCCTCGCTCGCGTACTGCCTGGCCTCTCCCGGCCGTCCCCTCGAGATCCGGGCGATGCATCTTTTCACACTGGGCGCCTTCGCCCGGTTTCGGGCCCCAGGGCTATCAGAGACCGGTCTGGCTGGGAAAGCGCAGCAGAAAGCTTGGGTCTAGGGCTCCAGTCGTGCATTTTCCCGACGTCTCGTGCTTTCGCTTCGTCGGAACTCAGGGTGTCTTCGCCCTCCTCCCCTGCGCCCCCGTTTCCTTGGACCGCTTACCCTGTCTGTTTCTTCCTCTCCCTCACCCTCCTGCAGCCTCGAGGCCCTCTCGCAGGATGGCCGTGAGCCCTCCCCGATCCGGCCCGATCCCCGCGCCCCCACCTCGGTCCTCGCCCCAGCTTCTCCCGGCTCGCTCTCCAGAGTTTCAGGTCAGTGGCGCCGTAACGGGTGCTCACTAACGGGTACTTTGGAAAATTGCCGAAAGTTGCCACTTTCGGGCCTTTTTTTGGCGTTGCAGCGTTGCCCACATCGGGGAGGATTGGGTTCGCTGGGTTACTGGCCAGAGTGCCCGTTAGTGGAGTCCCCGTTGGAGGGACGCTGATCAGGTGTCCTGGCTCAGTGAGCCTCTGGCGGCCCCGCCGCGCAGGCCCCTGGCCCTGCTGCGCGCCGCCCTCCCACCACCTCGCCGCCTGGGGGAGGCGAATATTCTTCAGAAGGCGGACGTGCACTCGGCCACACGCGGGGGGTGGCCCTTTGCCGGGGGGGACGGCTTTTTTTTGTTGCCGTCTTCGGCCAGAAGGTTACTGGCCGTTTTCGGCCTCCAGGGGCCCTCGCCGGGCCCCAGGCCAGTCAAAGGACGGTTTTGTTTTGGATGAGAAGCCAGCCTTGGGAAGAGGGACGGGTCTTCGGGGACCGCGTGCTGAAACAATCAAGCATGTCTCGGACGGGGTCCGGTCAAAAATAAAGGCGTCCCCTCACGCCTTGGGGGCCGTTTTTCCAGGGCACCCACATGGGCTCGAAATAGATGGGTCCGGAGGATCGCGCCGCGCCGACGATGCATCGACGATGCGGCGCGATGTGGAGCCCGCCTTTCTTCACGCCGGCATCGCCAATGCATCGCCGACGTCCGATGCCTCGGCGAGGCGGTGTGATCCTCCGACCCCCATCTACTCGGACCCCATGGGGGCCGCCTCCACTCTGGTGCGCGGCTTTCGGAGGGCGCAGGGGGGGTGGGCCGAGGCCAAGCGCGCAGGCCGCTGCCGTCGCACCGCATGCAGTGCGCGGCAGGTCGCGCACCCGATGCCGCTGTCGCCGAGGGTCGCTCTCGCGCGCAGCCGGAAGGCGGTGGAACACCACCACCACCACCGGTGGAGGACCGATAAAACAGGGCTAGGATCGGGATAAATCGCTCCAGAGCGTTCCTGAGCGCTCTCAGAGCGTTCCGGAACGCTCTAGAGCGGCCGGCGCCCAATACATCCTCCAAACCCGCCGATTCTCAGAGATTTCGAGTTATCCCGATCCGATTTTGTCCCGATCCTCGCGTCGTTTTGACCGACGGAGAGGGGACGGAGTCGGATGACTCGCGGCGCCCGCCCGCTGTCGGCAGGGCTCGCTGTGTCGGTGTCGCCGCGGGCGTGGCCCGCTCGGGGCTCGGGGCAGGAGCCGCCTGCCGCACAGCGGCGGTTGTCGGTGCCGGACGGCATTTCATGGCGGGCGTCGTTTCGCCTCGCCTGCTCCTCCTTCTCCTCCTCCTCCTCCTCCTCCTCCTCCTCCTCCTCCTCCCCCTCCTCCTCCTCCTCCTCCTCCACCTCCTCCTCCTCCTCCTCCTCCTCCTCCTCCTCCTCCTCCTCCTCCTCCTCCTCCAGGAGGTGGCGCGCCAAGCCACGCCCGGCCAAGGCCATCCTGGGCCCCAGCAGGGTGCACAGACTCTCCTGGCCGAGGCGGTGGTCGTGCACGGGCGCCTTCTGCGCAGTGGCCCCCCAACCCCGCCACACGGCGCGGCGCCCCGGCCAGGGAGCCGGGCGCCGGAAGCGCTCGTCGTCCTCCTCCCTCTCTCGGAGAAGAAGCCTGACCATTCAGCCGTCCTCCCAACCACCACCGCGCACAGCACGATGTGCCACGGGGCCCAGAAACATACACCACCACCTCCCTCACCTCCTCCCCCCTTGCCAGGAGAGAGGAGAGGAAGAGGAGGGAGGAGGAATCGACGTGGTGGGGGTGTATATATATATATATGTATATATATACATATATATATATATATATATATATATATATATATATATATATTCTCGGGGCCCGCGTGGAGGAGGGAGGAGGAATCGACGTGGTGGGGGTGTGTACTCTCGGGGCCCGCGTGTACGTTCTTAAGGGCAGGCTCCCGAGCGCGGGACATCAAACAGGATGTGCACACTCTGTCTCGAGCCAAGGGCCGCATGCTTTGGTGTGTGTGTGTGTGTGTGTCTGTGTGCAGATCCCACTCCTGCCTGCGTGACGTAAGGCCCCCCCGAGATCCGACGGCGCGAGCGAAAGTACAGCATCGCCAGAACTCACGACTGGCGCCGTGGACCCCATATGTAAGTCGGTCGCGTCTCTCTACAGGAGGAAAATCCCAAAACGGTAAAAAAATAGAGTGGGGACGATGATCCACTATGTTTGACAATTTTTCAATATTTTGTTGACTAATTTTTCAATATTTTGTTGACCAATTTATATGTGTCCTCCAAAATCCGCCTGTAGGGGGACACACCCGACCTAGCCTTATGTTTCCGAGGCATCTGTCTCGAATCGGTCTGCGATGGCCCTGGGGCCCGAAACCGGGAGACAACGACGACCTCCCGCGCTTCGTTGCCCCCCGGAGAGCTCCACCGATGGCCCCGAATGGGCGCGCGGGCGCATGAGGTCTGGGGGCAAATTTCGGCACGCGCCTCCCACGCTTCGTGACCCCCCAAGAGAGCTCAGTCGAAGGCCCCAGTGAGCGCGGGCGCATGCGGCATCTCCCGCGTGTCGTGGCACCATGGGGAATCCCACCGAGGGCCCCATGTGGGCGCAGGCACAGGGAGCCGTTCCGGCACGCTCTTGGAACGTTTTTCTTGCCCCGTGGGAGCCCCACCGAAGACCCCAGCGGGCGCGGGCGCCTGCTGTTTGGGGGGGAATTTCGGCGCTCCCCTCCGACGCTTCGTGGCCCAGTAGGGAGCTTTACCGCAGGTCCCAGTGGGAGAGTCTGCATGGCGCAACCGCCACCTTTCGGCACACCCTTCACACGCTCTGTGGCCCAATAGACCCCCCCCATGTCGTCACCGCCCCTTTGCAACAAATGTGTCACGGCTCAGCTGGGGAGAGCGTCTTCCTAGCAACAACATGTCACGGAGCACATGGGCTTAGCATCCACTTGCAGAAAAGGTGTCACGGCGAACGTTCAGGAGCCTCTCGGTGCGTTTCCTGGGCTTTGGGCCGCGGCAGGAACAACATTTGGGCGTCGCAGCCGTCCCGCTCGGGCATCCAGGGGCGCCCCATGGGGTCCTCCAACCTTCGGGGGCGTCCAGAATGCGACAGTTACGAGGATCTGCTCTCGGCGCCCACGGCATCAGCGCTGCGAAACGTGCCCCGGCGCACACGGCATTAGCGCCCCCCTGCAACAGATGCTCAACATGGCATTCGCATCCCCATGCAAGCATAGCGTCTCACAGCGCACGCGGCGTCAGCGTCGCCGTGCAGAAAATAAAAGCCGTCGACGTTCGTCGCACCCCTCACCTGTCTCGTGGCGTGGCCCCGTGTGGAGCTCCACCGACCCAGTGGCCTCTGCCCGCATGCTTGGCAGCTTCATTTCGGCGCACCCGTCACACGTTTCGTGAGTCCATTCGGAGCTCTACACACGGCCTCAGCAGGTGCGCTCGCGTGAGAGCCCCCGCCCAATTCGGAACATCCCTCGCGCGGATCGCGCCCCACAGGGAACTCTCAGCGCGCTTGTGAGCACCTGCTCCGCAGCCCCGTATCCGCACTGCCACGCGGCGGGTTGCGTATGTCAAGAAAGGAGGGCTAAAGCCTGCGCCACACGCAGCTGCATAATAGTGGTCCCGTCGCCAGGATAACTCTCCTCCCTCCTCCCGCCTCCCCCGTGCCTCTTCCCTCTGTATTCTTCTTTCCCGCTCCCTCTTCCCTCCCTCCACCTCTGCCCGTTGTCACTCTGCACGGTTGGCGTTGCACTGGCGCCGCTGGCTCGCCTATTACACGCCATCCCTTCCCATGGGGATGGCGTGCACCGAGGGAGCCCTAGTAGGGGAATAGCGTGCATCGACGAGGCCTTCGCAGGGGGGAGGGCGTGCGCAGAAGGAGCCTCTTCTCGGGGGGAATCCCCTCACATGGATAGCGTGCTTTTCGGAGATCGCTGTTGCACGCTATCGTTGCAAAGCCAACCGTGGGGCACAGCAGAGGAGTCGACCCACTCCAATTGACATGCGATGCAATGTCTCGCTTCAGCTCACACGTCTGGGAAAGAATGTCGGCTGTTTTCCTGTGGCCTTTTTTCGTTTTCTCGTTTCGTTGTTTGGGAAGGCGTCACTCTTTTGCTCGTTGTGTTCCCTCTCTCCACGAACCCCTCCAATGGCGTAGAGCGCACCGTGGCACCCGTTTGGCCATGCGGTCACCCGCACTGGCCCGTCGGGGTGGGGGAGCCACTTGCATGTCCTAGAATGCGACTGGGCGACGAATACACCGCAATTGTTTAAACTCCCCGCTTGCGGCAGTGTCCTGCCACCCCCTACGTCAGGTCAGGCTCCATCTTTGCTCTCTTTCGCCGAGCCCCCCATGCAGGGAAGAGGAACGAGGGTAACGGAGCGGACGAAAGCACCACCGCCAGCGTGACAAGCGCTGGGGCGTGCACAGTGATAGAAACGAGCGCTCACAGACTGGCACGCTCATTCGTTCCTCTTCCCTCTGGCGTGCCGGCGCGTTTCGACAACGCTCCATGGCGGCTGGAAGCAGCCACGGCGTTCTGTTCACTGTCTTTTGATGTCGGCGGCGCTCCCACGACAGATGCTTGCAGGGATACTTGCACGGGAAAAGGACCTTCGCTGAATTTCCGGGATCGTGCTGTTCCAGGCGCGTTCTTCTGCGTCGTACATTTTCGTAGCCCCCGTCCTCGTCCTCGTCGCCCTCACAACATTCCTTCTCTTCCTCCTTCTCCCCGTTTCCTCTCTGTGCATCTCTCGCCCTCTCTCTCTCTAGCTCTGCTTCTCTCGCTCCATCTCTCTGCTCCCCCCCTCCGTCACTTCACATGTGTATCTGCAGGCTCCTTCCGCCGCTGGTCCTGCTTGTCTTCAAACTTTTCCCTTGACGTCGTCGACGTCGTCGTCGTCGTCGGCATGGTCGTCGTCGTCGTCGTCGTCATCGCCGTCGTCGCCGTCGTCGTCGTCGTCGTTGTTGCCGTCGTCGTCCTCGTCGTCGCCGTCAGTCGTCGCCAGTCGTGTGGGCCCTGCCCTCGGGGCGAGGATCAGCCACTCGCGGAGGGCGGGCAGGGGGGAGGGGGGAGGGCTTCTTAGAAGCACCCCTGCTTCCACCGCCGTTGGCGTAAAGAATCGACCACCAGGCATAATGGACAACGCTGCTGTGTTCAGAACCCCCGTGCCCCCCCCCCCCCAATTCAATGTCGCACGCGAACGGGGTTGCCTCGGTCGATGCTTGCACCCCGACAACGGCCGCGAGCGCAGCATTGAAATGCAGTTCTGGGAGGGCACCGTCGAAGCAACGTCTGTGGGTGGGCGTTTTTTAGCGATCCATGGATCTGGCGCGCGGTCGCCAAACCCATGGATCGGGGGAAGTGTCCTCTCCAACATGCAGCCTGTGCCGCCTTGTTCGGCGGCGGAACCCCGCGATTTCCCATGAAAACGGGACCCGTCGCTACTCCATGCCCCCTTGATCCATGTTTGTGATCGCCTGATTGTTTTGCCAACAGCTGTAAGAAGCCTGTCCTCCCTCTTCCTACCCTTTGCGCGCCGCCAGATGTGCCCGGGCCCTCTGTTGCAGGTCGTCCGGGCGACGGAAGAAAGCGGCCCGCCTATGTCACCGCGTGGGGTCACTATGTCATTTTGCTCAAGACCCCCTTCAGTTCGTCGCGCATTTATCGAAGGAGGAAAATGGCACAACTACGAGAAACTGTCGGAGCTCCACGCGGATGTTTTGGATCGGCGCTGGGGGCCCCTTGTCAACGCTTCTACCGCCCTCCCTGGCGCGCTCCGCGCGCCGCCAGCGCGGATCCAAGAATCCGCGTGGAGCTCCGACATACTATGTTCATGCAGTTCTATGTATATATACACACATACACATATACACACGGTTTTGATCTGACTGCAAGGGCTTTCGATGCGGGGCTAGCCGACTCACTCGTCACGCTGCGCGAGCTTGACCTCTTGCTCGGGCATGGTGGCTCTATGTATCACCCACTCTGGTGCCGCGCTATCGGGCGGGGCGACAAGCTTTTTTTTCGATGATGGGGAATAGGGCTCACTCCAGGGCACCCTCCTTGCCAGAAACGCCGGTAGCCGCTCCGCCAGAGCTGCCAGTTCTCGTTGCCCGCGCGTTGGCCTCCCAAGTTTCGCAAGGCAGCCATTCGCTCCCTGCGCGGTTCGGGCCCGCTGCGTCAGTGGATAGTTGGTTGGAAGAGGTACCGGCAATGTGTGACCTTACCGTGGCCTCACATCGCCAGGACATACGGTTTGTCACCGTGGCCCTCGTCCAGCCCGCCACGCCCGAGAGCTTGTGCAGTGTGTGCAGTGGCTTGCCCTCTGGCCCGGGTCGGCAGTGAGCCCATCCAGCGAGGCTTCGCTCGCCGCTCGCCGCTTGCTCTACGTCTACACCAGGGGCGGGCAGTGCGTTCCCGTTGTCCGTTCCCCTCCCCTTTCCCCGCTCCCCGCTCCCCGTGCCCGTGCTTCCAGTTTCCCCGCGCCCCCCTCTTCCTCGTCCTCTTCTGTTTCTCTCATCCTCCTCCTGCCCCCTGTTTCTGCTTTTCCGCGTCCGCCCGAGCTCCGTGCCAGGCTGTCGCACGCGCCTTCGGGCACATGGCGGCGCAGGTGGCCTCGTTCGTCCATTCACTGCGCGGGCGATAGCGCTATCGAGGGGTTCGTCCAACAGGCCTCCCAGGAACTCGCGCACCTACCCGGAGTTTCGAGGAAGCGAGAACATGGATTAAGGCTCGTGGATGAGCGACGGGCCCGTTTCCATACGAACTCGACCCGCTCCGTCGCCAAATGCGGTGACGCCGGTCTCCTGTTTCGCGGGGTACTGTTCCCGATCTGGGGATCTGGCACCCACGCGCCAGATCCACGGATCCCTCATCCGTGTCAGCGTGTGCCCGACAGTGGCCCCATCGGACGGCAAGCGTGTGCCACCGACGTCGCTGCCGCCCGTCGTGGGACATCCGAACGGCCTTGGCCGCATCCAAATCGACTCGGCGGCCAGTTGTGGGCCTCTGAGTCGAGGGCGCGCCTCGTGAGGCGAAGCCGCGCATTGCGCAGCATCACCACGTGGGCGGAGGCCTGGTTTGCCGGCTGGCCGTGTCGCGGAGGCTTGCCCGCCCTCACTGCGAGCGGAGATCGTCGCCAGCCGGAGGCTACCCCCAAGATCGCCACCCTCCCTCGATGCTGAGCTAAAGGGTCTCCTCGCTGCTTTAGGGCTCACCCCTAAGCTTGCGATCGCATGTGGACATGTCTCCGTAGGGATAAGGACAGCTCGAGGCTGGCTTGATCATCCCGGATCTTCAGCACTCTGCCTGCAGGAGCCATCCTTCGCGGCACCACGCGCACCTCTCGGGCCGGTGGCCGCCGCGTGCGCCCCGCCTCTGTCGGTTGTGGTCTGCACCGGCGCGTCTGGGGAGTGATAAACCGCTGGGGATTGGCACTCCAGCGTTTGTTCCGGGACGTGCGCCTGCCTGCATGGTCCGCGACGTTTCCAGCAACATGTCGGACAAGGCGGCCGTGTGATCAACCATGCAGAGCAAAACCGCCGCCCCTGCCGCCCTTGCCGCAGAACAGGGACGTGTTATTGCCAATCGTCAACCAGGCAAGCGAGGCTGCGACAGTCAGGGCGGGGCCACACTACCGAGTCGATCTGCCCCGTGGCCCTCCTGGCCAATGCGGCCCTGAGGAGGAGGAGGAGGAGGAGGAGGAGGAGGAGGAGGAGGAGGAGGGAGGAGGAGAAAGGACCCCGCCTTCCGATCACCCCGCGGTTGTGCTGCTCCGCTCCGCATGCGACGACCCCGTCGTAGGGTCTTGCCCCCCTGCCGCTCGCCGGGGGGCGAGCCCCTCGCCGCGCCGGCCTGCCGTGGCTGGCCGCCCTGGAGTCGTTGTGCTGCCCGCCTGCTTCGCTTCCCTGGCTGCCAGCGGGAGGGCTTCAGAGGAGGAAAAGGTACCCATACTTGTACCCTTTCCTTGTTCTCCCCTTTTCGGGCCTCCTCGGAGACCCTCGTCGCCACCGTCGCATTCGTCTCGAAGTCCTGGTCAGAACGCACCCCGGGAGAGGTCCGGGGAGTAGCGGTATCGGTACCTGTTGGTCTCATCAATGATTGTGTGGGCGCCTGACCTCAGCTGGTCTTTGAACCGTGTTTTTCAGATGGGAGGCGTTCGGTGGGGGACGCGTGTTGTCTTCGGCGTTCTCTGTGTGTGCTCGGTAATTCACGGCGCCCACGGCCATAGTTGCCATCTCTGCAGCTCCTCATGCCAAGCGCCACCCGCCACCACAGGTCACATATTGCAGCTAGGGCGCTTCTTGCTCACGTCCCCCGCTCTCGCTGGTAATCGCCCATCTCATTTTTGAGAAGACAAGGGAGGTTCTGGTGGTGGTTATAGTCGGGAGAGAGTGTGCACCTCGTCGCAGCCCTCTCGGCCCGAAGGGTGCGCAAGCGAGTGTTCCATCTCCGTGCTTCACCCATGGTATGCAAAGCCACGTCAGCCGCAGCATGCTGCTACGCTGCATCCTGCGCCGACGTGCCAAGCAGCCTGGTGTTCCGTCCAGCCCGGCCTGCCCTGTTGGAGTTGGCGGCAGTCCTGGCCCAGATCGCGTACGGGAGTCCGTTCTCTGGGCTTCTCGTCGGGTGTCTTTGTATGACTGTATCACCCATTGCCATACGCGGGGCTCTTGGGTCCCAAGCTCCTCTGTTCCCACAGGTCAAGTATATTAGCTAGGGCATTGTTTCCTCGTACATCCCATTTCTCGCCGCTGAAACCACTAACCTTCTCCTCCACTCCCCTCCCTTTCTCGCCGTCCTACTCTACTTGGTGCTCCTGCTCCTTCGCCTCCTCCGCGTCTTCTTCCTCCTCCTTCTCCTCCTCCTCCTCCTCCTCATCCCTCCTCGGCTCCACCCTCTTTTTTCTCTCCTCCTTCGTCCCTCCTCCCCACTCACTCCCTCCTCACTCCTGCTTTGGTTCCTCCACCTTCTCACTCTCCCCCTCCTCCCCTCGCCCCCCTCTTCTCCGCATGCACCACCCACTTGCTTTTACCTTCGATCATTGTTAGCAGTTTTCCTGATGAGGGGGATGGCGCCCACGCGCATTGCTGCTGAGCAGCAGCTTCATCGGGCTTGTCGCCCTCCTGCTCCCTTTTCCTAATGTCTTTATGTCTTTGTCTTGTTATCCTTCTTCGCATTGTCTCGTGTTCTGTCTGGGACCTCCTCCCTCCTCCTCCGCCTCCTTTCTCGCCCTCTTCCTCATCCTCCTCCTCTTCCCTCCTGCTCCGCCCTCTGGCTCCGCCCTCCTTCTCCTCGCTCCTTCTTCATTCATCCTCCTGGGGCTCGAGCTAGCCATGAGGCGTCCAGCCCATTACCTTCACGTGTCGATTGGGGGCTCCCACCGCGTAATGATTCACAGTGGTAGTTGCCTGTCTCGGAGGTTGTCGGCGTGGGATGGATGCAACAGCCGAGTTCACGTATAATATTCGGCACGTGTTCTCCATCGGGCAGTCTGGTGTATGGATTGCCTCTCTCTTGGATTACAAGTGGTGTGGTTCAGTGTGCCTTGCAACATGTGTGCAGATTGTTTGTGTTGCTTGCTTGTTTCGGGCGGACTTGCCTGGGTGC